TGCGTTTGAACTGACTACAGGGTCAGCTTCCCCAACAACCTTGAGGACAGAGACTATCTCATGCCTGGGAAAAGACATGCTTTGTTTATATGGGCAGATGATGGAACAGAGTTGAAATACGTTGAATTAAACAATCTTGCTTCAAAAACCTCATAGGCATGATCCACTTTTTCACTGTTCCTTCCATGCATCCATCCATCCATCCATTCAACCACCTACTTACACATACTTGTTGAGTCTACTACGGGGCAGACACTGTGCTGGGCATTGGGAACACATAAAAGGAGCTCCCTTTTCCTCAAATTGTTCAGACATACTGGAAAATACAGACACATCAAGGCTTCAAAAGAGCACAGCGTATCATGGAAGGAAGGAGAAGGGACACCCATGCAATCGGGACATGGAGGCGGCTACACAAAGAGGTGGTGTTTGCGTTGGGCTTGGAAGGACTCTGAGGCAGACAGTAAGGCTGAGAAGAGAGATCGGAATATGCAAGAGAGATCTCTTGGTGTGAAGGGCGAAGGTGTGGCAAGAGAAAAATCGTAAGTTAGACTATGTCACTCTTGCACTCAAAGCCCCTCAATGACTCCCATATCACTAAGAGTAAAAGCAAAAGTCCTAACAATGACCCAGGAAGCTCTGTCTGATCTGACCTGAGGCCTTTCATACCTCCTGCTCCTTCTTGCTCCAGTCACACCGGCCACTTTGCAGCCTTTCAGGGCCTTTGTGCCAACGACCTCGAAGGAAGGCTCCTGCCCCAGAGAGCCACCTGCCTCCTTCAGGCCTTTACTCAGATATCACCTTCCCAGTGAGGTCCTCTTTGCCACCCTTTCCTGACACCCTCTATCCTCTTCCTTCCTTGCTTTATTTTTCTCCATATCTATTACCACTGGCCAACACAGAATATATATTGCTTATTTATACTTATTGTGCATCTCTTGCAAGAAGTACGAAAGTTCATGAGGGCAGAAGTTTTTGTCCATTGGTTCGCTGCTGTATTCTTGGTGCCTGACAGTACCCAGCATATAGTAGGTGCTCAATAAATATTTGTGGACAGACTGAAGAAAGGGTTATTAAGGAGAACTATGCAAAACTAAGGCTTCTGGGGATTCTTTGGAAGGTAAAGGGAAGCCATGGACGTTTTTAATGAGGAGAGTAGAAGAGCCGGGTCTGCGTTTTCTTGGATAATAACTGGTGGTGACACTGATAGAATGGTGGCGGGGGAGGAGGAGGGAGGGGGGACTGAAGGCAGGAAGTCCCACGAAGACATCACTGTACGAGTGGATGACAGCTTGACAGGGGGCAGTGGCAGTGGAGGCAAAGAGGAAAAGAAAAATTTGTAGGTGAAATGACAGGTTAAAATCCGTAATGCTGATTTTATGCACGAGCACCACAAAATTGCTTTTTTGGGTGTGTTTCATTTCTCATATACCACAATCCCTCAGTACAAAATCAGCCCTGATCTCGGCGCAAAGAGTGGGTCTGAACCGCGGCTTACGGAGAAGCAGGCTGGACTGCTCTGCTGACAATGCGTTCAGGTCAGGCTGCTCCAGGGAATTTGTAAAGCGGAGCTGCCCTTGTCACACACCTCGAAAGCAGCCGTCTTGCCTGGTAGGGTGATGTGACTCCTCCCTGTTGATCTCAGTGTCACGTTTCAGTATTTTTTCTTTGGCTTTAGGGCTCTCATTCAATTAGAACTTGTCCTTCCCTTCCTTCTAATCCATTCCTTTCACGAAACTTGCTAACTAACCAAGCAATCCAATGTTTTATTGTCTCCTTATCCCTTTTGCCCTTCATTTGCTCACACCTCACATACTCCATTCTAAGTCCCTCCCCTGATTCTTACTCTGGACTTTCTTTCATGCTGGGCAGACATGCCTGGAAAGCTTTATAAAACCCATTTATAAGCCACCGCCTCCTCCCTCGACCTCCACCCTCACCTAGCAGCCAAAAGACCTTTTCTCTGTGTGAAGGCAACACAAGGCCATTCTCAGGTCGAAAAATGTACCACCACAGACCGTTTTTGAAAAACAAACAAACAAACACTAAACTTGAAAATATACTCTAGTCAACTGCGAAGTTACTACGTGGAGATGTCAGAATGGAAGTTCGGATGGACCGGGGCCGGGAGCCTGGCTGGGCCCACCAACAGGCAGGGGGACTCAATGCGGCCGAGAGGCACCGCCAGCAGCACACCCAGGCCAACGGGGCTACGCCAACAGCAGCAAAATTCGCAGAGGAGGGGCCTTCTTCCACAGTGACATTTGGATGAAGCTTAATGAAACTGTCTGTTCCTTAAGAATTGCTATCCTTCATTAAGGTAATAATCCTGTAATTGGAACCCTTCTGTAAAAGCCTCTCCCTGAAGAAGAGTTTACTGTGAAGTTCAGAAGTCCAATTAAATGTGATTACAGCTGTGTTAAAAAACAAAAACAAGAAGCACCCATGGTGAGGAACAGGCCTGGGGACAATTTTCTGTGGTGAAGAACAGCTTATGTCACTCCCCCGCTGACGCAGCGCCCTGGCCACCACTGCCAACCAGCCAGGCCCGGGGGCTCCCTGCGGCAGTGCGTGAGGCCTCTCGGGGTGCGCGCTGGCCAGCCTTCCCAGCTGCACCTCCAGGCTTCTTCGCACAGCCCTCCTCCCGGCTTGTTACCACAGCTCCCGAACGGGCGCCATCCGCCCCCCCGCCTGGGCACCTTCCCACCTGCCCGTCCTTGTCTGGGACATTTTTCCTTCTTCTTTGACTTGAGGAGGGAACCCTACCTGCCTTCTTCTCCATGAAGCCTCCCAGACACAGCCCTCTCTCTCTGCCACCCTCACAGAATTAGGGTGCCTATCAAAGCCCCCTGGACATCAGCAGGTGCTCAACATATGTAACTCTACATAATAAAGTGGACTTAGTTCTCCTTTCAGATCCATCTGCCATCCTCACAGGATGCTGAGTGAAAGGCCCCTTTCAGTGCCTGTGTATGTAGATACCTGGATCAGGTGCCTCTGACTCCATTATTAGAATTAAGATTCAGGGCTCATAGTGGATACATTCAAGTAATCCATCCCTTGGGGGCGATTTCCTCTAATAATAAATAAGTAACAAAAAAGGGCTGATTTCTTCCTGGATTTGATGCATATTTTATTTATCTGACTATAAGCTCCATGAGTGCAGGGACTACATTTATTTATTTGCTCACTGCTTTACCTGCAGCACCTGAAACAGTGTCTGGCTCCAGGAAGGTTCTAGTCAACGTTGGCTGAGAGTATGAATGTCTTATTTGTACTTATTTCCCAGGTAGAGCAAAATGCCTGGCACAGTTTACATTTACTGACGCTTTGCTGAATTAATGAATCCTAGTCCAAGCTGTAAAACAAGGCCATTTTCTTGATGCTAAAACCGAACTTGATAAAGGGCCTCTCCCTCAGAAGCACACACCTGCTTGCCTTCCTTCTCCGAGGCCCCTGCCCCCACCCCTTTGTCTTGGCTTCTGTGTGTCACCCTGAGAAACAAAAAGCAGCTTCTACGGCTAGAAGGAAAGGCTTCACAGAAATGCAAAACAAAATTAACCTTTTCCTCCCAACTGCATTTAACACACCAGGTGATTACAAACCTGGGGGGCTCAGGGAGAAATTAGTGCAAAATGCAGACAATAAAAAAAAAGGTCCCTTCACATCTGCAAAACCCCAAGACCTGCACATTTCCCCTTGAGAAGCAACTCAAAAGCGCCCAGCTGCGCTCCAGGCCCCTCCAGGGCAGCCCTTTCTTCCGAGCTGGTTGGCTACTCCCACTTGTGCACGCAGAGCAGCAGCCGCCCCAGCATCAATAAAGCTGACTTCCACCCGCATCTCTAAATGCCCAGTGCCGGAGCTTCAGAGACAGCGAATTTGTCAATTTTGACTCTGTGCCAACCTGGCTCTCCTAGGAGTCTTGAGGCTACACCAACCCAGAAAGAGAACCTCTTTCCTCCTCTGCATTTTCTGAAGATGACCAGAAACAATCAAAAATGAACAAAGGGATTACAAATTAATCTGCATTCACTGGCTCTTCTGACTGAAAAGACACCATTACAAATCCAGGATTTGCAAGAGACCTCAATTCCTTGTTAATCTCCACTATCATTTCCATCACTGCCTTTTTTATTATTTTTTTTAACGCTCCTTTCTTAGGCAGGGAATGTGGGGGAGCTGTGTTCGTTCTTCTCTCAGCAGTAACTGGAAAATATGTCCTTAACATTTCAGAAAGCAGATCGCCCCTGCACCATAACCACTAAAGCGTGGAGGTGAAATGGCACAAGTGTCCTTTATGTCACCATCTGTCTAAATTAATGAATTTAACCATGAATAACCTAAACCTGTGGTTCCTTTGGAGACTACGAATCAACCTGATCCTCAGGAAAATTCCAGGGCCTTAGGATCTCCAATTTCTTTACATTATACTTGGTTTTGCATAGCTTATTTCGACTGCTCAGGAATGGGCAGTGAGCGGCCTCAAAATCACGTTCCGCCTGCGCCTCTGCTCCCTCTGGCCATCTGGAGCGGGGCCTGCAGAGAGAACAGGTCCTGGCACCTTCCTGCCAGCCTCCCTCCATGGGTCAGTGCTACCGAGTAATCAAAAAGCAGTGGGGGCTTTTCTCCTTCTCTTTCTCAGACGTCTGCAAACTCTGCTCGGGCAGAGGTTCTGCCAGTGACATTTCTGCTCTGGGAGCCACAGACACACAGTCCTGCTGAGGGCGGAGGGGTTCCTTGAGCTGCGGTGGACCGAAGCACTCCTACCAGCTGCTCATGACACTATCCCTGGCACACAGTTCATGGTGGCTCTTTGTCTACATACCACACTGGCTCCTAGTTCTGCTTTTCTCTGGCCAAATACCTGCTTGTGTTCTTCAAACTCATGCTCAGCAGAAAGCTGAGGATGGGGCTTAGAAGGCACATGGGGTGAGGTTTTCCCAAGTCGCGTTGAGAGAACATCCAATCAGAGGCCCATTTCTGCTGGGTCCTGCGCTTACCTGGGTAGGGCACTCTTCCTTTGGTGACCAGCTCTGTGAGTAAGATTCCGAAAGACCACACGTCAGACTTGATTGTGAACCTCCCATACAGGGCTGCTTCGGGGGCCGTCCACTTAATGGGGAACTTTGCACCTGCAGAAAGAACACCTGGTTACTCGTCAAACAGAGAGCACTACACTGAGTATGGGGTTGGGGAGAAAAAGCACTTGGAAACTGCTCTCACAGGAGCAGGTTCACAGGAGGGATGGGAAGGAGGGAGCACAAGGAATAACTAGGACTGAGGAGCTGTGGGGTCTAGTCCTGGCTCTGTGACCTTAAGCAAGCCAGTTTAATTTTAATTTTCCCATCAAAGAGTTGTATGTCAAAGCATCTTTAAGCTCTGGCTTCTAGAATTTGAATCTATGATCACATCGAATGTCATAGATTGCGTCGGGAAGTGAATCTAACTTGTGAATTGGGAAACTATTTTATACACACACACACACACACACACGTGTATATATATGTATATACATACTTGCTTTGCAACAATGTTATATTTTAATAGATACACATAGCATTCAATCATGATGCTACCCTCATGAATTCTTTGATATATAAGACCATAGTTTATCCTTGTGAAGTACAGGAAACCAAATCAAACCACCAGCTTCTCCCAGGGCGGACACAATTCGCTGCAGCCCATGTGCAATGGCTCTGTTTCCCTCCGGCCTCTCACACCTACAGCAGAGAAATGATTTTGTTTCTGGCTGCTTCCCTCCCTACACTCTCTTTCTTCTCTCTACCCATTCCACCTGCTTAGTGGCCATCTTTAATTCTGGGATAGTTTTTTCTTCTGTACTGTGTGATCCCTTGATTACCTCCCTACCTTCCTCCAGCCAGCCAGAGAGGCTACTGTATAATGTTTGGTTTTTCAAAGAGCAGTCTTGTCTCCGTGACTATCTTATGAGCCTCTGATTTCCCAAGACCAAGGAGCAAATTTCAGGCCTAAGTCAGTAGGATTTTTTCTTTCAAATTTCACCCATCGTGAAAAGAATCCTCCCTCTAATCCAAAAGGAAGGTGGGGTCCACCCTGCTCTTTACAAGGCTAGATGTGTGAACAGGGAATTAGAGTGGATTCAGTAGCCTATGCTCCCACACATTCAGCTCAGCAATTACAAAGCAGTTCCATACATTTCATTGAGCAAACTAAAAAGAACTTTTACTACTGATGTAAACACAATTATATGTCTAAAGCATGTTAACTTAGGAGCTCCTAAAAAAATCATACAAAGGCTAAAAAAAATTAGAAATTTTCATAGTGCCTCCCATAAAAAGTCACAATACGCGAAATGGCGATGATTAAAATCTTTAAATTAGTATGGTGTTAATAACCAGAGATGTATGATAAATTACAGCAATTAGATTTTTGTTTTAAATACAGTACATGATAACATCTTTAGCAAATCTAACTGGAATTTTCTGGCAATATAATTTTCCTTTCCATCTCTTCTATGCCTGTGTGAAATGAAATTAAAAAAACCCTACTATTTCATTGTGTGGCATCTCACATTAACACTGGTGCAGAGAAGTTACTCTATAGTTTGCTTCTCCTTTCATTCTTTTAGTTATTTGTAATTAGCTGTTTCTCAAGCATAATTATTTATCTCTGTCCTTAAGGGCTGCATGATTCCACACAAGGCCTGGTATTCTTTGAACAGTCATTTGGTTTTAAAAGTTTCTTTCAAGGTATTCTTCTCACACTTCCTATCCTTGAGCATTCTGTTCACGCAGCTTTGGACTCTGAGCCGCTGGGATTAATGTGATAGATTTTCTTCAGTGTCAAGAACAGACTTTGCCCTGGACCAAACCTCAGCTGGAGTTCTCTCTCATTTCAAAGAATTAAAGGTATATTACATTTATTCCTATTTAAACTATCTCTTGAGCCAAATGGCTTGGAATTTATGTGCATCTTTGAAGCAAATAGAACACTCTTCTCTAGTGTGCAGACACAAATCCTGTAAATGAAATGACAAGCGAAGGAGCCTTTCTTCCCTTCTTGAAATCACTAAGGTTGGTGAAGGTGTGTGTGTTGCTGAAGGTAAACTGTTCAAAATTTTATAAAGGCATTTTGGATTTTTTGAGAGATAAATTACACCCCCCACCCCACCCCAGATCTCAATATATCAGTCAGTTGTGCTGTCTGCTTTATTTTCTCATCATAACATATACAATGAGAATTATGATATATAAAACTTGAAAAAATAAGTTAAAACAAAGGCAGTAATGGCTCTCTAATAGGAAATCATTTGTAGATAGGCATTTTGATTTAATAGCAAGAACTCGCTTAAATTTATTTTGTACTAGTTTTCTTTCTACCTAATGTATGTATACCTAATACATTTTGGAGGGGAGAAAATGAGGAATGTCTTTGTCCAATTTCTCCTACTTCTTTTTCAGCCTTAAAATAGCGGGTACTGTTGACAAAAGAAGGTTCTCGAAAGATAGCTCAGGTTTTCCTTTTCAAGGAGGATAAAGATTAATAAATTAAAGCAGCTATAAACTGTTAACCATTAATGAAGGTGTTAACCAGATAACGAATCTGTGCTCACTCTTACCTTCATCTCATTACCTCAACTTCCCCTCACGCTGTTTTCCCACCTCCTGAGGGCACCGATGCAGCTCCGCCTGGGGGACAATTCACCGGGGGTTTTGGGCAGGGGTCTTTGGAAATGGCTGTGCAGGCTCCACACGGCAAACCCTAGTCTGTGAGAAGGCCATCCAGTGTCCCGCCTACACAATCCCACAGGTAGCCCTGCTGGGGGCTGTGGGGGGCTGCCTTGGGTGGAGTTGGGGAAGCTCAGAAACCCAGAAGGGAGGAGCTCCTGGGTGCAAATGTTGCCTTTTCCTTGAAAGTAAAGTCCTGCCCCCTCAGACTTTTTGCACAGATGTTGTGGCAGGCATATAGTCAGGATCAAAGTTGTCTTCTACACAGCATGGGTTTGTAGGAAAAAGGAGACAATGTCAGGAGACCTACACCATGGTGAACTTGGTATTGTTATGTAATCAGCTGACTCTTCTGGAAATTCTCTTGTTTGGGAGCAGGGTTCAGATACCAATGCAATTTCCTCTCCTCTTCACTGTACTGGAGGAAATGTAGCAAACTAAGCAGGTGTGATGAACTAAAAAGAAAAGGCATTACTATCGCTTTAGTTTTTATTTCTTACTGAATTACTTCAACAGTTCAGGATTCTTTTAAGCCAACAGACAAAGGCCATACATCATATACACGATGGATGTGTGTTTATGTGTGGACTTGAAAGCATCCTTTCCATGCGATGCCTGCCAGGCAGTGTGTGCAGAGTTCACCGCCTCCCAAGGTAAACTCACTGCTGACAGCTTGACCTGGTCCTGCCACTGGGGCCCGCGTCCTGGAACCGCCAGAAACGTAGACTGTCTTTGTACTTTAGTCATTTACTTCCCTGGAATAGTACTGAGGACTGATTAGCCTTGCTCTGAATCATTTCCTGTGGTGAGGAAACATACCATGTTTTAAATAATAATTTCTGATACACACCTCAGTGCTGTTTCTCTAAATTCTGTTGAGATGTGAGATGAGTGGTCATAAACTTCCTGTAACAACAGGGGACCTTACTCACGGTTATCTTAATTCCAATGACACCTGCATTTCTATCACCAGATGGGACCTCCCTCCCGAGCTCCTGACCTCCTCAGTATCTCCACTGGGAGGTCTCAAAGGGCCTCTCAAACACAACATCCAGAATTTATCTTTCCCACAATCCCGCTCCTCGTTCAGGGTCTGCTGCCTTGTAAACCGCCTGGCTGATGACAGCAGCCTGCCGAGCATCCTCCTGATCGGGACGCTGCGCCGATTTGCTCTTCGCGGGGCACTCAGGTAGCAGCACTGAGCTGCCTAGAGAAGGAGCTCGATAAATCTGCACTGAGTCATCTTGGGCCCCTGCTGCTTTATCATTCTCCACACACTGAGTCCACTTCACTGTCCTCACTGCAGTCCTCGCTTGTGCACGGTCACCTGCCCGGGCTCCTGCAGTGCACTTCCAATAGGGCGCACCGGCACAGTCTGGTCCCTCCCCCTACTTTTCCAGCCTCTTCCGATGATCCTGGACCTACGTTCCTTTGCCCTGAAGCCCCACCCCCAGCCTCCCATTGACCTATGACTGCTCTTCTTACCTGTTGCAGGGCCACGGGACAGGTTGTTCTCTTTGCCTAAAGTCCTCCCCCGATTCCCATCCCAAGGCTACGCCTGCCTCTCCTTTGTTCTCGGCCTGTTACTTGCGCAGGGAGCCTTTGCCTGAGCACCAAGACTGGGCTAGATTCCCTGGCTGTGCACCACCGGGTTGTCTCGTTCTTTGCAGCTGTGACCCTCCCAGTGCAATGAATACTTTATAGGTATCCCCCACTTTCGAAACTTTGCATTATGCCACTCTGCTTTCACAAAAGACCTACATTAGTACCTGTTTTGGCTAACTGAAAGAAATCCGAAGAGGATTTTCGCTTTGACAAAAAAAGGCGAAGAGCAAAAATAGCGTTGCTGTTTGTTTTGCCGTGAGCGTTTCTTTCGGAGGCAGCACCCAGAGCAGCAGGCGCGGCCGCCACACTCCTTCCCGGGGAGCCTCGCTCAGCATCTCTCAGCACGAAGCCGCCAGGGCTCCGAGCTGTGTCTGCGAGCGCCTGGGCTTGATCTCGATTTATTTTGTGCATACGTTAGCAAGTGTGTCCCGAGGTAACTGCTTCTTTGCTTTACGCCATTTAGGCTTACACAGGGTTTCACAGGAACAGTCTATTTTCTGGTAGTGGGAGAAGCCTGGGGTTGTCTGAAACGAGCCCCTCTCGATATATCGATACTGTCTTTGGGACCAGGAGCATGTTTTTGTGGATGGCCACCGTATCTCTAGGATTGAGCCCAGTGCCTGAGACACAGGAGCAACCAGAGAAAGAGGTATTGAGTGAATGACTCACTGGGTAGCTGAGAGGCCCTGTTAGCCTTTCCTTCCAGGTTGCTCCCCAGTTCTTCACAGTGCTTATTACTGATTTCCTCCTCTCTGGTGAGTCCCCCTCTCCTTGTCCTCAGTGACTAGTGTCACTGTCTGTCATGAGCTGGGTGCCCTTTT